ATGAAGGGCGTAAAGTCTCCATCTTTCTTTATGGCTGCATAGTATTCCATGGTGTACATATACCACAGTTTGTTGATCCATTCGTGGATCGATGGACACTTGGGCTTCTTCCATGATCAGAATGTTTATTGCAGCCCAATTCATAATTGCCAGATTGTGAGTTTCTTTCTTACACAGCCTTCAAGCAAAGTCGGAGCCAGCTGGGTAGGCCCACCAGTTCCTAGGAGGCCTGGCCAGTAATGCCCAAGCAGCAATGCCAGTGTAACCTGTTATGGTCACATGTGTACTAGGTAGCTGCAGTCCTCACTGCTGGCTAGGGTAGTAAACTCCACAGGTCCCTGTGCCACACAAGTTCACTTCAGTCATCCTACAGGACAACGCAGCTTTTGCTCTCCACTCACAAAAGCACCTTTGCCTTGCAGATACTCCCCGCTGCACAACGTGAAGCTACCGGAGGCCGATGACGTCCAGTACCCATCCATGCTGCTCCTCACTGCCGACCATGATGACCGCGTGGTCCCGCTTCACTCCCTCAAGTTCATTGCCACTCTTCAATACATCGTGGGCCGCAGCAGGAAGCAAAGCAACCCCCTGCTCATCCACGTGGACACCAAGGCCGGCCACGGGGCAGGGAAGCCCACTGCCAAGGTGATAGAAGAGGTCTCGGACATGTTCGCGTTCATAGCGCGGTGCCTGAACATAGACTGGATCCCATAAGCGGAGTCTCCTGCTCCCTTCTGATACTACAGACAACCTCAAGGGCTTCTCACACCATTCACAGAGAAACCTCCCGGTGTGATGCTTCCCCACGGGAACGCTGTTCCTGCAGACTCTAGTTGATCAGAACTGCCGTGGGAATTTTACCTTTTTTAGGCTTCTCCTTTTTAGCAAGCCCTTGATGTTTCTTTTTCCATCCTTTCCAGACACATTTTTTTTTTAAAAGGCATGTTTGGATAAATAGCTAAATGGCAGCAAACATGTTGTGAATATTAGATTACAGAATTAAGAGACGAACTCGGGCATCCTTCATATATAGCACCTTGATGAAATCTGCTTCTATAACCATAACCTATATATCTTTAAATCAGTGTGGGAAACGTTCTCATGAAGAAGACTTCTTTGCAACAATAATAAATGTTATTTAAGAATGGGAGGCTTTATTTCTGGTTTCTTTGTGTTGAGGGGCAACTCCAAAAGCACAGTTTTCTGTGGGAATAAAGCATGCCACATTTCTGTAACAAGTTAGTTTCCAAACATCATAGAATGTTCGCACTGAAAAGAAGTCAGGTTCATCCATCCCAGCTGCCTCCTTCAGGAGTGAGGAAGCTCTCAGAGGAGACTCACTGTCTTCAGTATTAATCACGCTGGCAGGTGATAATCTAATCTGAGGCCCTTTTGTTTAGGATGCCTATTATAATTCAGTGAATTGGAAAATTCAGACTGTTCACCTCTTTGTGTATTGGTTTTGTTTACCTGAAAATCAGAGTTCCTTGGATAAAGCTAAGAGACCACGTAAGTAAACTATCCACGCAGATGCATTTATCCAACCTCATCTTACAGTCAGAAATTTCAGCATTTCCCAGGCCTTTTCTCCCTGTTGACCACTTATAAATAAGCATACTTAAAAAAATACACACACAGCTTTGGTTTGTCCCTCACCCCCCCAGAAGTCTTTAAGAAAAAGATCACTCCTCAAACTTTTATGCATAAAAATGTTTTTCAAGGCAGTTTTCACATACCATGAAACAGTGTTCCTTTGTGTATCAGTTTGGGAAATGCTGATCTAATTTACTTTTTTTTTAAGTTTTTTATTTTATCAGATGTGATAAAATAATTACCTATTTTGTTTGACATAGCTTAACTTTGCGTAAAATAGCTTAAAAGATTGCATCATGGCTCAGCAAGGTCTGAGAAGCCACAGAAGGAGGATTGCTTGAGGCCAGGAGGTTAAGACCAGCCTGAGCAAGAGTGAGACCTCATCTCTACAAAAAATAGAAAAATTAGCCGGGCATAGTGGTGGGTGCCTATAGTCCCAGCTACTTGGGAGGCTGAGGCAGGTAGATTGCTTAAACCCAGAAATGAGAGGTTGCTGTGAGCTATAATGACATCACTCTAGCCCAGGTAACAGAACGTGCCTCTGTCTCAAAAAATATATATAAATATATAAGTTCATTATTCCCATAACTTATACTTTTATACTTTTCCAAGTGAGTCTTACTTTCCAGAACACACGTGTGTGTGTGCTTTTCTTTAAGAGCGCACTCGCTCTACTTTTCAAGTTGTGGTCAATAATTAGACTCACTTACCTATCAAGCAGCTACTACATACCAAACACAAATGAAAGGTGGCTTATGCTTTGGTTTTTCTCTTCTAGAATTAATGTTTTCTATTACTGTTTAAGTACTGTATGTAATGAAACAGCTGTCATGAAACATAACGATTCACTATAACCCCTCTGGAGACAAAAGGTACCACTAACTACCAATGCACGCCATCACCATCTACTCAGAGAGATGCTAACACCAGCTAACTGCAGTGTAACTGTTGTGCTAATGGGGCAAAAAAATAATCAAATACGTTCGCACAATTCAGCCAAGGGCAGCCCCACTCCTGGACCAGCCAGGTCATGTGAAGTGCAGACAGCTCTTGTACCCACTCAGACTGGTGCATTGTTAAGATTGCACAGAATCCAACCATGCTTCACCAGGGCAGACCACAGCAGAAAGTAACATACGGCTTCAGAAATCACTCAGGCCTGGGTTCAAATCACAACTCTCGTTCAGTAACAGGGGATGAAGAGGAATAAAGAAAGTAATACATTTACAAGCCCCTAGCATGTAATCAGCCTCCAATTAAGAGTTCTCCTTTCCAAGCTAATTTTTATATCTAGATTATAGTAGAACAACTGATCTCACAAAATAGAGGTATTTCTTTTCAGACTTTAAACATTAGAAGTAAAACTTGAGACGGGGCTCCTTCCCAGGAGTCTCAGGGAGTCTTTGCTATTCAATGCCACCTTTGTGTCCTCCTTTTTAAAATTATTCTTATTGATGCATAATAGTTTCAAGGATACATGCAATAATTTAACACACATATTCTAAAGATCAGTACTTAAATATCTACTTTATTCGAGAAACATTTAAATTATTCTCTTCTAGGTCTTATTTCTCTTACCAAACTGTCTATTTGCACCCACCAATCAGCTTTTCGCCATCCCCCACTCTTCCCTCCCTTCCTGACCTCATCCACCAATCTGCTGCCTTCATGAGATCTGAGTGGGAACATGGGGTATTTGTCTTTCTGTGTTTGGCTTATTTCAGTTAACATAATGACCCCCAGTTCTATCCAAGTCACTACAAGTGACAAGATTTTATTGTTTATGGCTGAATAATATTCCATTATATAGGTACTGCTTTGTCCATTCATCTTTTGATGGGGGTTTGGCCACATTTTGGCTGTTGTAAACAGTGCTACAATAAATATGGGAATTCAAATATCTTTTCAATACATTGAAGTCCTCTATTTTGGGTATATACCCACTAAGAGAATCCTACGGTAGTTCTACTTTCAGTTTTTTGAGGAATGTTTTGGAATAAAAGCCGTACCGGTTGCACATGGCTCCCCACCTTGTCACAAGGTCTTGCTGAACGCATCACAGCCTTTGCTGCCTTAGTAAAGTCACATTTACGATGTTTAATATGTACACACCAGGAATATTGTGAAACTTTTCAAATTAATCCCGTCTGTTAATACTCTCACTAAAGCTTAAGCAGCTACACACAAGTGGTGCTACTAATTTGAAAACCTGTCACCAGTCTCTTGGTTGTCAGACACTTTGACCAGCCTCCAGGAGTTCCCCAGGGCAAACCACATAGCTACTGTCCTGGACGGAGCTGTGAAGACTAAAAGGCAGGTGAAGGATGGGCTGGAGAGCTGTGGGGTTGGGGACGGGAATGAGGCACAAGTGTCAAGGCTGGTCAGGCCAGTGGGATGGATACGGAGGCAGGTACACCTGTCCACTCAGAGTCCAGATCTGGGGAATGTAGAGAGGCCTGCCCCCGTCAGGTTGACACTCTGGGCCCGGGACAGATGATAAATCATGCTGAATGTTTGCCCCATGGCACCCTGTCTAAGCACTCTGAATGAACCTCAGTCCTTACACAGCTTTATATAGCATGTGCTATCCTTTCCCTGTCTGGCAAGGGCCCAAGGTTCCCAGTTGGGAAGTGGACGTACCGGGTGGTAAACCTGGCAGATGGGTCCTACAGACCACACCCTACCTGCTATGGTCTGAATGTTTGTGTCACCCAAAATTTACATGTTCAAATCCTAAAGTCCAAAATGACGGGGCCAGAAGGTAGGAGGTGATTATGTCCTCCTAAGAAGGCAGAGACCTTACATAATAAGAGGACACAGTGGAAGCAATGCACACCAAACACCAGATCTGCCAGCGCCTTGATCTTGGACTTCACAGCCTACAACACTGTCAGAAATAAATTTCCATTGTGTATAAGCTATGAAGTTTATGGTCCTTTGTTGCAGTGGCCAAAACAGACCAAGATACCTGTCTTTTGTCTTTTTTCTTTCCTCTCCCCTGGTTCTCCAACCAGCTCCTCCCTTCCCCTTCTTGAAAAAAAAGGGAAGGGCAGGAGGGAGGGGCAGGTCTCTAGACAGAGACCTTATACCCTTCACAAAAATGAATTCAAAATGGATTATAAACCTAAATGTAAAATAGAAAGCTATAAAAATCCTCAAAGGTAACATAGGAGAAAATCTACATGACCTCAGCTTTGGATGACTTTATAAATACAATGCCAAAAGCATGATTCATGAAAGAAATAACTGATAAATGGGACTTCATGAAAATTTAAACTGCTCTGGTGAAAGACAATGTGGAGGAAATGAGAAGACCAGCCATGGCCTAGGGGAGATACCTGGATAAGACATACCTGATACAGGAGTATAATCCAAAATGTGCAAAGAACTCAACACTGAACAATAAGAAAACCCAAATAGGCTCGGCGCCTATAGCTCAGCCGGCTAAGTCGCCAGCCACATACACCTAAGGTGGCGGGTTCGAATCCCCAGCCCGGACCTGCCAAACAACAATGACGGCTGCAACCAAAAAATGGCCGGGCCTTGTGGCGGGCACCTGTGGTCCCAGCTGCTTGGGAGGCGGAGGCAGGAGACTCGCTTGAGCCCAGGAGTTGGAGGTTGCTGTGAGCTGTAATGCCACGGCACTCTACCCAGGGGGACAGCTTGAGGCTCTGTCTCAAAAAAAAAAAAAAAAAAAAAAAAAGAAAACCCAAATAAAAAGACCTTGACTGAAACCTTACCAAAGAAGGTATACAGATAACAAAGAAGCATATGAAAAGATGCCCCCCATCGTATGCCATCAGGGAAACAACCCAGTGAGATACCACTACACACTTACCAGAATGCCCAGATCTGGAACACTGATGTGCCAAATGGCGGCCAAGGATGTGGGCAACGGGAACTCCCATTCATCACTGGTGGGAAAGGAAAATGATACAGCTACTTTTACTTTAGAAGACAGTTGGGAGGGCTTCTTGCAAAGCTAAACATACTCTTATCATAGGATTCAGCAGTTGTGTTCTGTGGTGTTACTGGAATTTCTTTCTTCAGTAGGTCGTTGGTCTCAGGTATTTGAAGAATTAACCCACGGAACACAGATCAGTAGTAAGATAGGATTGTATTAGATAAAGGAATACAGAAGGGGTAAACAGCACCAGAATGTCTGGATTGAAGGACTAAAAACACCAGAGCTTCTGTCAGAGGGAAGGACCCAACTGGGGAGTCTCTACGTGGGCTCTTTGGGGTATAAGGTCTTGAGAATTACAGTTGGCCAGGACTTGGCAGATGGAGACATGTTTTCGACATTAATGAGTGTTATCAACAAACGAATGAATGCAGTCCCTCCAGCTCAGGGCAAAAGGTCAGGGTGTTGTTCCCCTCATGAAATTGCCCAGGCCTAGGAAAACTGGGGTGCCCTGTCCTTGAATGTGGGAACCCTTTATCACTGGTATTTACCCAAAGGAGTCAAAAACTTAGGTCTACACAAAAACCTGCACATGGACGTTTATAGCAGTCTTATTCATA